TTTGCGTGCCGACTGATTTAATAAAATATCTAGTCATCCATCCATCTAGTCTAGCGAATTTGCCCTTTTTTAACAGCCAATTAGTCTGCACTTAATTTGATTACGACGTCATTCTGTTGATAATCTGATCGTACCACCGTGTCATTCTATTCAGTTTAGAGATTTTCAAGCAGTTTTATTTCAAGCAGTTGGATTTGGCTTATGAGGCGGAATTGCCGAACTTAGCGATATAATCATGGCCAATTTTGAAGATTCCTTGTGTTTGGTTGAAAATGATCTTATCGTAAGTCAATTTGCAGCATTACATTCGTCAAATGAAACATTTGATCGCCGAACGTACGCCACCAAATAAACGCGATGAAAGAATTGGTACAATTGAAGCGCTCGAAAAAACTGTTGAAATGGTGGGTTCATCTTAAATTGCGACAAATCAGCCACAAACACCTCAGTTACTCTACCTGAAACACTCTGAGTTATCCCGGATTATTTCAACGTTTGCTTCACNCGAGTAATTTCATTGTTTTGTGATGAACTGATTAACTCATTAGGTTCTAAACTGAAGGGTCTAGTTGAGGACGAATGGATGCCTGCTTAAAGGATGACAGGTTGAAATGAGCTGATGTATACTTCCAATCGTCGACATGATCGACGTATTTTTGATTTGTTCTGCTCTTTAGCAGGCTAGCATCCAATGCAGCTTCACTTTAAATCTTGCGACTGAACCGGCAAATTTTAGCTCCGCACAACACCGGTCTATTCTACGGCCGAGCGGCTACGATTGAGTCCGGCACATTCCTGCTCGGAAACCGTGGAGACTCTGGTGGCCGGAAACAACGGTGGCGTTTTGCCGGCTGAGGATGTCTCAACGCCGTCCACTCGCACACCATCACCAACCGCAAATCGCTTCACGAGAAGACATATTCTCTCTGCGCATGTTTCACTTCCGGACGGCAAAATTTTGGAGTTCAGGCGGAACGTCAACGATGCATTTGAACTTCAGGTAATCGCTCGCTCGCTGCCACAGCTCTCATTAGTTCCCCGGGTAATTCCCTGCCCACGTAAGAAACTGCGATAAACTTTTTCGAGTATGCTAAATGTGTGTGAAGACCTCACTGAATTTCGTGTGATTGAATTTCTCTTCCAGACGATTCAATTGAAAGAAACACCCAGAATTTGGAAGCAGATTCCATTTGGTGCAGTGTAAAGCTCAGAGATTGCCCCTAGATACCAGTATAACGTCTAGCTACGATCACTTCAGTGAGCAGGGCTCTGAAGCTTCGACGTATCCGGATAATCTCAAGTGATAATTTCAGGAAGAAAACTGCGGGCGGAGTTTCTTTGAGCTACTCTCAGAATGTGGCCGACATGCTTTATTGAGTAATGTTTT